AGATAGGAGCTTGGTTATAATTAACAAATATTTAGCATAATTGCGAGCGGATGAACGGCAATTACCACTAACTGGCTGTTGTGTATAGCCAGAGCTCTGAGCCGATACAGGCCAGTCATTTAAGGCTAATTGTCAATAGGAGCATCATCGCATGATGCATCGATTCGCTTTAACGATGTATTAGCATAGTAATTAGTGCTCAATGATCACTAAATTGCAATAATGCTCGCCCGAATAATTAATGACGACCTCGGACTATCGGAGAAGAGCCGAAGCACGAGCCGGCCGACGCTATAGATCAGGAACGCGTTATACCTGCAGTCGCAACATGCAGTTGAATTCACGATGGCTTAACATTGGCTAAAAATTGACCCCCGTCCTGATTATTTGATGTTTTAGCGCATTTTCTCATTTAAGGAAAAAAGGCGCTAGTGTGCTCGTCATGTCCGTCCGTCCGTCTGTCTGTCCGTAACTTCACGGACGGACAAGAAAATGCGCTCTCTGACACTCACTGCAGTGAGTACTGAGTTATATTTTTTGTGATGTTATGCGTGGTTAAGGAAGACCTGTCATGGTAATGTGAAAATTATGGTCTTGGCCTGAGATTTACCAGCTTAGATTTCGTCTACACGAAGAGTGACACAAAGGAAAACTTAAAACGAAAAGTATGTACCCACGCTTGAAATATATTAAATAATCCAAATTAAGGTTAATTTTTAAATAGGTTTTAGTAAATTTCAGGGTATTTTAACTGTATCAGCTCTAAGCTGTCAGGTAGAAGTGTACGATTTGAAGATTTCTTCCTGTAGAAAGAGACGTTGAATTGCAGGGAAATTAATGCTACATGAAACGAGTTAACAGCTCGATAACAGTGCCTTTTCTATTTAAATCGTTGCTTCTATAATCACAAAAAATTATTGGTAATACAATATATTATGTAATTATTATATTATATATAATAATTGGCCCAATGTTTTATGTTATTGGAAGAAGAACCGCAGTAAATGAGGTTAATAAAATCTTATACTTTTACTCAAAATTAATGTTGTCACTTGCTCTGCAAGTTGCTGTTAGAAAATTGAGTATGCTTAACTAATTACTGTGTATCATGCAATTATTCTTTTCTCATCATCAGATTTCATTCTTCCAAAAGCGAATTTCAGAATAAACGATAAAATTCACAGGAAATTTAGAGAAATCTATGAAATTTCAATCATCCATAGATGAAGAATTATTTGTGAAGTAAAATAAGCATAAAACATTAATAATTGTGCGAGAACCTAACACAAGTGCTCTGTACGAAGGCCACTGATTATGCACCTGAAATATGAACGAAATTAATTGATTTATTTAGGACGGTTTATCTTAGATTTCACAAGGAAGGTTAAGGGAAGGCTGTCGACAACAGCTTTGTTCTTGGCACCTCAAAGACTCGATGCTAATTGTCTGTGTATTTCAATTACGACCGTCAATTGAATTCTGTTTGGCCAAGGTGCTACGGAGTTTGTTTATCAACATCTCGCATGTTTATACAGAAGCACAATGCCTGCCGAGATAAAACAATCAATAAAAACAATTTTCATTGTGTTAAAATTGAGAAAGCAAAATTCTTGGGAAAAAATGACTCGCGATTTTCAAGCCTCAACTTCGTGATATGCACTAATAAACATTTAATTCGGCTAAAAATATTCCAAGAAGTAATTGCTTTAATCATAACTAAGGATGCAGAAAAATATTTAATACAATTCCAACTATCAGATTGTGCTTGAAGTTTTAAGTGTCAATGGGCAAGATTTGGTGAGGTTGACGTGATACTGAAGTTTCATTAAAAAATTGTCGTTCACGAGGATGTTGAATAAAATGAAAATATTTAAAAGGAAACAATATAACATAATAATATAACATAATAACAACTAACATAATAATATAACATAATAATAACAAATGAAAAAAGATCGTGAACAATAAGAAGAATATTAATAACGCAGGCATAACAACAACGGAACAAAATAACTGCACAATAATGTGCTATTGAATGCTTAAGTAACTCATATCAGGAAGAGTCTTGCAAGGAAACTCACTAACGCGAATAAAATAAAAAAGAAGAACCAAAAAGAAATAATATATCTCAATACTCGCTGCAGTGAGCGACAGAGAGCGCATTTTCTCGTCGACGAAAACTTGAAGTCACGGACGGACAGACAGGAGGACAGACAGCCGGACGGACGGATGGACGGACATGACGAGCACAATAGCGCATTTTTTTCCATAAATGAGAAAATGCGCTAAAAATCGAACAGAATTGGAAATTTAAGAGATTTTCATCACTAAAAAGAAGTAGACGACTATAACAAGGGAACACGGCCTGGAGATAGTAGCGCGTCTGGTCTCGTACATCAGGACTTCAGGAGCAAATTTACGCGCCGCGCAGCACATTCATAACGGCACCAGAGTCCTGACGAATCACTTGCTGCCATGAGGTCTTTAGCGTCAAACTTATAGCGTCAGTGGCGCTAGTAATGATCTAGGGTTCCTAGCCGAGGTTCCTAATAAAATCATTCCGTTATTCCATAGAATGAAAACTAATCATACCAAACTATTCAATTATTATTATCAACAACAAATGATCTAGGGTGGTATAGCGTCAGGCTAGTGGCGCTAGTAATGATCTAGGGTGGTATAGCGTCAGGCCTGTGGCGCTAGTAATGATCTAGGGTGGTATAGCGTCAGGCCAGTGGCGCTAGTAATGATCTAGGGGGTATAGCGTCAGGCCAGTGACTCTAGTAATGATCTAGGGGGTATAGCGTCAGGCTGGTGACGCTAGTAATGATCTAGGGGGTATAGCGTCAGGCTGGTGGCGCTAGTATTGATCTAGGTTGGTATAACGTTAGGCTAGTGACTCTAGTAATGATCTAGGTTGGTATGGCGTCAGGCTAGTGACTCTAGTAATGATCTAGGTTGGTATAACGTCAGGCTAGTGACTTTAGTAACGATCTAGGGTGATATAACGTCAGGCTAGTGACTCTAGTAATGATCTAGGGTGGTATAGCGTCAGGCCAGCAAACCTAGTAATGATCTTGGCTGATATGTTTGGGGCAGAAATACTGGCAAGTAAGCTGTACCTGGAGTATCTAGAGTACCTTCTGACAGCCGAAGCTCATGTTCACAGAAATATAATATGGCTGCCTACTGTTGGAGATCAATTGAAATAATCTAATTGAAAAACGGACACATTAACAAATTCCAATGACATTCGTACCCAAGGAGTACGAGTATCTGTAGCTATCCACCCATGAAACGTATAACATACGAAAAGAAATGTGCAAATAAAGCTCAACAAAACCATTCAGTTGTTGAATTGTAATGGATGAGGTGCAAATAAAAGTCAACAAAACCATTCACTTGTTGAATTGTAATGGAGAAGGTGGTGTAACATGGAAGAATTAATCATGTTTGAAACTGTGAAAGGCTACACGCGACTGCCAGGGAAGTTTCAAAGCTTCGAGACGCACGCAGAGTCCCCCGCTTCCGTGATAAATAGCATGGAAAATGGGCAAGATTTGGTGAGGTTGACGTGATACTGAAGTTTCATTGAAAAATTTTCGTTCTCGAGGATGTTGAATAAATTAAAAATATTTAGAAGGAAACAATATTATCAACAATATAACATAATATTAAATGAAAAAAAGAACGTGAACAATAAGAAGCATATTAATAACGCAGGCATCACAACAGCGGAACAAAATAACTGCACAATAATGAGCTATTGAATGTTCAAGTAACATGAACACTGTGAATGATCGATGAAAACGAGGCATCAGGAAGAGTCTTGCAAGGAAACTCACTAACGCGAATAAAATAAAAAAAGAAGAAGCAAAAATAAAAAATATAACTCAGTACTCACTGCAGTGAGTGACAGAGAGCGCATTTTCTCGTCGACGAAAACGTGGTCACGGACGGACAGACAGACGGACGTACCGAGCTCAATAGCGCATTTTTTCATAAATGAGAAAATTCGCTAAAAACGCCAGTAACTAAGTTATTGAAGTCAAGTGGAGTCTTCAGTTCAGTGATAAAAAGCTACGCAATTCCAAGTCCCCTTCCCTCCTACGACCTCGGTCGCCTAGCCTCGATTACTGCTCATAATGGTTCATCGATGAGACACATTAAACCATAAATTGAGACCCCAATATTTATGGTAGGAATTATGGTAAACAGCCTCAGGCGATCAACCACAACATGGCGAAAACTTAAGAGGCTAAAAAGCACAATGCAAAATGACGCGTTAACTGTAGAGTCTACTAAAAAGGCATTATTTTGCGGAGAATGGAAAATGGCCTTTAGCTGATGAAATGCTACCTTATTTGAATATCCCACTGCGACGCGCTTAAGTTGCTCAAATTGAGACACGTATTCTATTCGGAAACTTAGGAGAGGAGGAAAGTCGAACAACGGTAACAATTATAATATCATAGGGGCACTCACATGTATTTTAAAACATAATTCTTAGTCACGAAGAAAATACGTTGGACTGGATTCATCAAAATTCGTCTGCAGCATCAACTTGAAACTCATATTTTTTTGCTGAATTTTTTTAGATTTAAATGTAATTGAAGCCTGATTCGAACATATTTGTGAACACTGCATTTTTTATTTAATCGAATAGCGAAAAAACCTTTGATTTTTTGCTTTATTTTTCTTAATTGGTTAAGTTTTAGCGAAAATACGCCATTACTATTATGACACTACAAGCAACTCGTATGTTGCGACTTGGCAAGATTGGTTCTATTAGCGCGAGGATCTTACAATCAGGAACAGCCAAAATCTTGACGACTCCTGTTCAATTAAAAATTCAAAGGTAATATCAGAAATAATCTGCGAGAACACGATTTTTACTTCCGACAGTTGAATAAAAAATTAACTGAATTAAAAGTTTGAAAAAAAGACGACCTGCTGGTCATAGGTTAGAGAATAGTGAAGAGAAATGTTTTGATACTCACAGTGCATTGGTAGTTGACTGGCGGCGAGCGAAGATGGCTTTGGGAGGCGGCATGTTTCTTACGATTGGCATCTCGTCAATTGTAAATTTAATCTCGGAAATAGCGAACGGTATCAAGCGATCACCACACAGGCTTTTGCTTCTGTCTCTTTTGGGGACTTGAATGTTGGAGGGATCGTCGGAGTCTCTGTATTGCGGGGACTGTGGATGGGCTTGGACAGGGCCTTTGGGTGAAGCAAAAGTCCCTTTGCAAGACCAATACTCCGAAGAAGGTCTAAATGACCTGAGAGTCGAGAAGCTGTGTAGAGCGGGAGCTCCATGCTCCGGTCCAATAGACCTGGAAGTTGAGGAGCTGGATGTTGCAGGCGACCCATATTCTGGAGACGGACACGGTCTAGAAGAAGATCTGGCAGAGGTCGTAGAAATCGAAGAAATTTCCGAAATACCTTGGGAACGTTTATCCGCGCGGAATTTGTTCATAAGTTTCATATCGAGACACAGCATCTCGTTGGCTTCATGTTGATTGAAGTTGATGTCACAGATGCAAGTGAAGCTTGCGCTTCCACACCTACAAAATATTCACTTAAGTCCTCTGTTTAAACCTTACTGCGAATCTCACAGCCTGCGCTCATATGGGTTTTGTACTCTGAAAAATGCTCTTATAAGATTTCAAAGTGAATCCACTAACCTACGGTAAAATGTTCAGTCTCACAGCTTAGACGTAGAAAAATAATCTGAACTGATGAACTTGCAGTCCCACTCTTACCCATACTAATTGAATTCCTCGAAACTTAATTGCGCTAAACTTTACAAGTGTGTTTACGGATGTGAGCAATTAGGTGCGTGGACTTGTGAAGATTGTCAAGGATTCCAAGACATCAAGTCGAACTGAGCGCAAAGCTCGATGCAGTTGTAGCCATGGTATAAACATGGCCATTTTCATAAGAGAATCATCAATCGTTTTGTCGGTCCCAGCTCGTGTCAATTTTGTCCAGACTGCAGTTTTGCTGCCATAGACTTTTGTAACCGAAATATTGACAAAATTGTTCACCCTCACAGCGTCAGTTTCAAAAATCTTAGAGCACTTACTTATCAAAATATTCTTCAATTTCATTAAAAATATAGACCGCCACACACGGAGAGTAGCAAATAAAGAAGTTAATGTTTTAGTAAATATTTTACTATTGATAGTGCAATGCTAATTTTTGTGATGACACTTGCTCAGAGCTCAAATAAGGAACAATTCACATTTTAAACGACTTCTCAGGCACAAAAATTTGTTACCGAGGCTAAGCTTTTAACGAAAACTTTAATCGTTAGGATGACGCATGCCACTGTAGCAGCAGGTGCACAACTCTGTACTGGGAGACAGTTTTGACTGCCTTTGATGCTTTTCATTTCTCTGTAAAAAATGAAAATTTCCCCAATTCAAAAACCATTCTTAGATCACATTGGAACATATGGCAAGTGCGTAAAAATTTAATATCTGAGAATGCTTAGTTTCAAACAATTCCAATGGACGATAACTCAGTGTACGCTTAAAAAATGACGAACTATAGCATTAGCACAGACATATCCTCGCAGGTTTCGCAAGATTTTTAAAACATTTTATTTGTAGTAGTGTTTAGTGTTAAAAAATGCAATAGAAATAGTAATACACATTTTTAATAGGAACACTAACAGATAATAATAAAAAGCAAATAAAAAAATAACAGTAGCAAACTAATAGTGCTATTTCAACCAAGATGCTTTTCTGAGAGATGTTTTTAAATAAGTAAATTGAATGAGATGATTGTATATAAATTAAAAAAGAATGAGTGCCAAAATGGAAAATTAGGTGGTACTGAGATATAAAATTTGTATACCCGCACACAACAAAGCATATGATACATATCGGTTGTCGCATTAGTTAGCAATAAATATACGTGATAAAATGCCAATTAATCACACAATTTCTCATAACATAGTTTTCGAAACTTGCAAGCCTTTGAGAACTTTTAGAGGAAACAAAAGGATAGATTGCAAAAAGATAGAAAATAAAAACTAATGCATAAAGAGATAAATAAAGATAACTTGAAATGCAGTAACAAGTAAGAGAAAGGGAGTTGAAATAGAAATAGAATTTCATGAAATGAATCAAAATCCGAGAACAATAGGACGAAAAATAACTGATAATAATGGAACAATAGGTGGATCGAGTCAGAGATGAGGGACTCAGCAGATTGACAACACATAAAAGATTGGCAGACAAAGACGACATCAGAATGAAAAAAATGGAAACCAAAGGAAAGAAATTAGAATAAAAGAATAGAAGAGGGTGCAGGAGGTGTCTGTCATGCCACTACCTAAAATAGCTTCCAGAAGAGGTAATTGTCAGTGAAATGATTAACAGTAGAATAGAGTAATTATAAACACCAATAAATAATTCTACTGGAGGTAGAAGAGTGATAAAGAAGTGATCATTGCAATAATCTACTATAATAGCTTACAAAAGAGGGAATCATCAGTGAAATGATTGACAGTAGAATAGAGTAATTATAAACATCAATAAAATAATCTACGGGAAGGTAGAAAAATGATAAAGAAGTGATCATTGCAATAATCTACTGGAGGTTAATAGAATAATAAAATAGCCACAAGTAAAATAACATACTGAATGATAGAAGGATGATAGAGTAGTCATCAGTGCAATAAAATAATGATAAAATAGTCATTAATCAAGATAATAACCTACAGAATGATAGAAGGATGATAAAGTAGCCATTAAGATAATAACCTACTGCATGGTAGAAGAATGATAAAGTAGTCATCAGTGCAATAAAATAAGGATAAAATATTCATTAAGATAATAAACCTACTGAATGATAGAAGGATTATAGAGTATCAGTCGTTAAGATAATAACCCAGTGAATGATAGAAGGATGATAAAGTAGCCATCAGTGCAATAAAATAATGATAAAATTGTCATTAAGATAATAACCTAGTGAATGATAGCAGGATGATAAAGTAGCCATCAGTGCAATAAAATAATAATAAAATAGTCGTTAAGATAATAACCTACTGAATGATAGAAGTATACTAAAGCATCAGGCGACAGTACGCGCGGCCACGGGCCATAAAATGGCCAGGGATTGGCCAGCGGACGAACGCTACGGCCCCAACTTGAGCCGCTACTATTGAAAAGAAGCAATAAAATTTTATTGCTCAAACTAAGCCCCAAGAAGTCGTGGGGGACTGAGAAATAGAAAAGGGGTTTGTTAATGAGCTGCTTATCTCAGTCGTTAAAGCTTAAGGTCTCAAGATATAAAACAAAATGGGGCAGTTAAGATGGTAATTTCTCCGCTTAGTCATGTGAGTAACTATCTCTGAATAGGAATAAAAGGTAGAATAAAATTATGAACGTTACATATAAATATTCAGTTATACGGCATTGATGCTTATTGAATTTTGCAGTGATAAGAGATTACTGCAATCGAGAAAATTATTGCTTTACGAAAATGATTAAAGCTGCACTTAATACATTTGAATTTTCGATTCAACCTAAATAGTCGTACGTACTTAGTATTCTAGACCATAAAGCAATCAAAAATTATATTTAATTGATAGAGGTAGGAGAGAAAACTTCAATTGCAAGCTTTTGAGACCGATAAACACATCCGAGATTCGTGCAATCAAAGCTTAAGATTAGAATAAAAGGAGCACGCAAAGCCACATATTGACGTGCAATATTGGAACTAAACAACTTAGCGTCCAGGGGCCATACTTTCAAAACTCGCCAAGTAAACGTAAAAACTTACGCCATATTTTCTTGTCTATGATTGGTGGATTTTGCTTGAAAGGCCGTCAATGATTGGCTGATGAACTTACGATCTCTTAACTTTTCTTTGAAAGTATAGGCCCTGGCCATTCAGCCATCCACGAATGTCGGGTTGTGTTTTAGCGACATGCACACTGCGCAGGTAAAGTTAACTACGCAAAAAACTAAGCAACAGAACAAAATTTCTGATGTGGCAACAAACATGCAAAATTTGTGATGATGCATAAATGAAAAATTTGTAATGTGGTGACATGCAAAATTTGTGATGTGGTGACATGCAAAATTTGTTATGTGGCAACCTGCAAAATTTGTGTTGTGATGACATGCAAAATTTGTGATGTCGCGACATGCAAAATTTGTGATGAGGCATACATGAAAAATTTGTGATGTGGTGACATGCAAAATTTGTAATGCGGTGACATGCAAAATTTGTTATGTGGTGACATGCAAAATTTGTGATGTGGCAACATGCAAAATTTGTTATGTGGCAACGTGGAAAATTTGTGATGTGGTGACATGGAAAATTTGTGATGTGGTGACATGGAAAATTTGTGATGTGGTGACATGAAAAATTTGTGATGCGGTGATTTGAAAAATTTGTGATGCGGCAATATGCAAGAGGTGCCGGAAGCCATATAGCTTATATTATTTGTGGCAACAACCAAGAAAATTAACGACTGGGAAGGTTCGGGAGACGGATATTTGAATGATTGGTGAAATCGTCAAGAATTTGCGCAAGCAGAATCTGAATATTTTTTAATTTGAAATTGCGTAGAACACAGCTAAATTAATTACAAAATTGAAATAAGCAATGTTGATTAATTAATAAGATAAAGACAAAATTATAAAACTGTTTGTCGATTCAGAATAAAAATTTTTGTATTTGAATTACAAGCCTAATCAGTAACAACTCCATATAGCTAAAAAATGGTATAAAAAATTGGCTTAAAATAATCAAAATTGGTGCCGACACAAACAGAGACCAAGCGAAATTTTCGTCGAAATAATTTGATCATAAGCAATGCACGAGCGATCAATGGATGCTGAAAATGAAATCACAAGCACTGGACGACATTAATTAAAACACCGCCTTTACAACTCAACTGCATCAGTGTGTGCAGAGTTACTTTAAACGTGGAACAAAATTGCTTAGGTACTTAGCAATGTAACAAACGATTTGATGCTTAGTTTTATTTTGCATTTCGCATCAATCAAGGAAGTTACTGTATATGCGTTATTTACAATTTCATTTATTTGTCCCAAATGTTCCCCACTTTCCCCTACGCGGAAGGAGCCACCTTTCGGAAGAAATGCTAAAGAGCTCAATTCATGAATAACTTCAAGTTATTCTTGACGTTATATATTCCAGCAAACAGTGAGAAGCTTAAAGATTTTCTCTTGAAAAATATTCTTCCAAAACAAGTAATTTAGAAAAATTGTTTATATCAATAGAAACGTGTATAAAAACAGTGTCCAGGAGCTTATTACAAATACCTTGTTCAGAACTATTAAAATCATGCAAATGTACTGCAGAAAAACATAGATGCTCCGGCTTAACTTGTACCCCGGACATCGCGGACAATGGTTCTCGGTCAAAAGGCGCGCGGTTAAGCTGCATAAATTACGATACGAAGGATGGATTACACGGACCAAAGCTCGCAGGAAAGAAGGGATCCAGGGAAGGACAGAAGGTTTTCAACTCTGGGGTCGATGGAACGTCAATATCGGAAGTGCTTCATAAGACAATGCGCCCGACGAGAGGTAGAAGAAAGCCTTCGGTCCTATTTTGACTGCGGTCAAAACCCCCCCCCCCCCTTGCGTAACATGGACTGGGTTGACTTTAACCCCGCCTGAAGGTCTTATGGTCTACAGGTATAAGAACTATGGAGGAATATACTCTTTCGGTCTACATGTGTACTAGCTATAAAGTAATATACTTTCTGGCTACAGGTGTGTTAGCTATAGGGGAATATACTCTTTCGGTCTACATGTGTGCTAGCTATAGAGTAATATACTAATTCTGGCTACAGGTGTGTTAGCTATAGGGGAATATACTCTTTCGGTCTACATGTGTGCTAGCTATAGAGTAATATACTAATTCTGGCTACAGGTGTGTTAGCTATAGGGGAATATACTCTTTCGGTCTACATGTGTGC